TTGGTAGCCACATTTTAATCTCAGACTTGAACTGAAAGACACTGCAAGGGAAAAAACTGACAATTAATTTAAAAAGATGGTCAGCATTTGGTCCAAGATTTATGATTCCAGAATAATACACATGTATTAATAAAATAGCAAAACCTAGAGAAAAATCACCACTAGCATTCATTAGGACTGTACAAATCTGCACAGCTGCACAAATATACACAAATCTGATGTTCTCCTGCATGCTCACGGTATGTTGGAGAGATGGAGTGTAGCTGAAGGGGGGAAAATGTTCTGGAAGTTCTTAGACCCAGGCTTCTTGAAGCGATGCAGAGGAGAACTTGTGAAGTCCTTGGTCAGGCCCTGATCATCTAAACCCTCTCTGGGCAGCTGTACTGTCTGGTGCTTGGACAGGGTCACACGGATGATCTTGCCATACATCTTCTGCCCGTTCAGATGGCTCATGGCTAGATAACGAAGACAAAGACAGCTCTTTGTTTGTCTTAATGCGATATAAAAACAATACATGTTAATCACGAAAAGAACAGCGCGGCAGCTTACCTAACTGGGCTTGGTTTCCATCAGACATCTGGATTAGAGCACTGTCCTTCTTATTGTAAAGGATCTTCACACGCTGCACGTCACCGTAGACACCTTCGGTTAGGCGAGAGGCAGATGGAAGAGGGAGGGAAGAAGGAGGAGGAGGAGAGGAGTGAACCAGGAAGGACAAGTTAGTGCTTCAGAAGCTCCAGTTCTGACATGAAAGGTGAAGATGATGGTACAAATCTTCCAAATTATCTACACCAAAGAGTCCAAAACAGTGTTTCTAACAGACACAACTTATTTTGATACGCCCTCCAAAAACAAGCTCATGTGATATGGCAAAGTAAAAAAAAAAAAAACCTACATGCAAAACAATCAACCATGCATTAATATAAGCTGTACATGAAGAGAGACAGATAGAGCAAGATAGAGACAGAGGTTTCGAAAGCCAAGGAAAAACAAATCAATGAAAGAAAAATAAAACTATTTAATTTGAAACTTGGCATAACAGAACTAAACAAATTCAACTGGAAAACTAAGAATCTGTTGTTACACTAGTACCAGATTATTAGCTAACCCTTAAA